ATGTAGCTGAGGGAATTCTTAATCTTATGATATCATTAACTCATTTTTTGTTTTTATTTTGCTACTTAGTCCCTTCTGACTTAAGGCCGGTCATATGATCTTGTATAGTATAGTGCTGTTTTACATTCAAAATCGTCCGTTTATATTTTTACTGGTCTGAGTAAAAGCATTCTGAGGGATTCTGAGTTTAATTTGGTGCAAATGCGCAATAACTTGTTTATTTTTCCACCAGGACTTGTTGAAGGACACATAGTTCCACAGATATTCCGGTATTATTTGGGTGCTAACATGCTAACGGTATCCCAACTACCGTAAGGTTGCCATCCACCGCTCACGTAGCCTTCCTTTACCTTCCTTTAGCATCCTTTCGACAAGCAATTGCGTCTTCCTAGGATCATTAGTGGTGATCTTACGGTGATTCCAGTATATCTCTGGAACCATGAGTTGAGTCTGCTTGAATCTATACTAGAAGATATTTCTGGAACCATCTAAAAACTTTACCCCATTTCAAAATCCACATGTGCAAAGGGCCACAAGTCTTCTGTGAACAAACCCTTGCAGTCCCTTATCTCGTCACCCGACAACATCACTTATGATGGGACCGCGAGAGTCAAAGCATGCGAAACAGCGCACGGCGATGGCGCCCTGAGAGAGCGCATTGAGATGTTTCAATGAAACAGTCGCATGTGATTGAACACATGCGTCGCATTGAGAGAGCAATGCGATGAGACAAACAAAAATTGAAACGCTCGAATTTGTTGAGAGCGTGTAGCTTGTCGCGCGCATCGTTCTGGTCTCTCTTTTGTACAATAATGTAGCACACCATGGATTTGAGAGTCATGCGACGCTCCGTCTCACAGCTCGCTGTCGCATTTGTGTACGCGTGAGATTTCCGGAAGCCTGGCTTTTGTTGACTCATTGGTGGCGGAGATTCGCACGACTCGCGGAATAGGTCAGATGATATGATTTGCATTTATTAAAGATTTTGAAAAGCTAAGAAGGCAAAATTGTGTTGACAAAATCTAACGGGTAATGCCGATATAAATATATATATATATATATACACACATTAAATGCAAAGGGGAGGGATGGGACCACCAGGGCACCGGATTGAAGCGATTTGGATGGGGAGAGTGGAATTGCCAACTCCCTGTCATTAACATTTCGTGAATTGACGGCGGGCTCTTCTCCCCACTCATTGGGACGTTCCCTCGTATGATGGCTTGTTCTACATCGGGTTGTAGGATATTATCATTGGAAGGCGATTCTCCTGATCCCGCGGATTGCGCGTAAGTGTATCTGCTTACGGGTCCGCCCCTCCGTTTTTGGCCCTTCTTACAATGGTAAATTGAATACAACCAGGTATCGTACTTGATCAAGTCATACTTGGAGGATGATCCACTGTCTAATGGCTGTGCCTTGCAACAATGAGTGGTATCCTTTACATACATACATACATACATACAATCAATGCTGCACTGCCCCGCAAATGATAAGTGGTTAACTCACTGCGATCACATAATCCGAAGAAATTTCACTGCTGTCAATATTAGCACTGAGCCATGTTTCCGTAAAGACCAGTACATCATAGTCACAGCTGGACAGAAGCAGACGGAGCTGAGAAATTTCTGTACGCAAACCTCTGACATTCTGATAATACAAAGAAAACATGCCTATCCCAACAAACATTGGAAGCAGAACAAGAGCTTATTCAGTCAAAAATTTGCTTCTTCAGGTAAAAAATAGCTTATTCAGCCTTTAAGCAGCTCAAATTGTTTGTTGGGATACGTTTCTATTATAGTGTGTTGCAATTATGGTCTATGGAATTTTACACCAACCCTTTACTTGAAGAAATTTCCAAGAACCTATTAGATTAAGGACCTTGCATAATTTTCAAGTCCCATGAAATTAAATGATAATTTCTAAGGAATCCATTCTAAGAACTGTGAGGAAAACATTAAGTGCAATCTGCTTTCAAGGTAGTCTTGAGGAACTCCAGATTATATGTGAAATCTGAATACCATGGTAGTGCTGAGCATAATTTCAAGTCAACCCAGAATAGGATTCGAATGAAATTCGAATGAAAATTCATACGAATTTCTGAAGTTAATTCCTATGGAATTCTGAAGAGAACTTCATCGAAATTTAAAGAAGAATTCCAATGGAATTCTGAGGATAATTTCAAAGAGGTTTCAGATACATAATTATATAGGAATGTGTAGGAGTATGCTAAAAGGAGGATAACAATTAAATCTGAAAATAATTCCAGGAAAACTTCAAAGGACCTAGGAAAAGCATTCCAGGAGAGTTCTGACTTGAATGCCACATAATTTTTAATGAGAAATCTATGGAATTTGTTACTTCACTGCAAGCGAATTATTAAGAAACTTTCAAGCTGAGTAGAATTCCAAGGGATGGAGTAAAATTCAAAGGGCATCCGAATTTCAAGGATGATTCCAACGAAATTTCAAGGAAATTGAAATCATGTTTCGATGATGTTTTTTGAAGAATTAAAAGGATAGTTGCAAGGGAATTGTGAGGAGTATTTTAAAGAATTTATGGGAGCCCTGAGCACAACTAAAAAGGAACTGTATAAATTAGTAATAATTTGAAGAGCATTGCAGATTGGATTCAAAGAATGTTCTTCAGATAAGTTTCAGAAAGAGATCTAAAGTGAATTTTGAGGGTATTTTGGGATGATTCAAGCAAATTCTTCAGAAAATTCTGGCAAAATCCTGTAAAGCTTTCCAAGGATATCAGGATAGTTCCAACATAGAATGATTTTAATGATATTGGTCAAAAATAAAAAAAATCATAAATGGACCATTTTTCGAATTCATATAAATAAATATGGCAGAAATTTCCAGTAAACGCAGTATTATGATATTATTGAAATTATAGACGAAACAATTTTTTTTTATTATTTTTTAACACGCGACGGTTCTTTCAAAACCGAGTTATGAAGTTGACTGTATTTATATTTTTGCATGTCATGTGCAAAAAACAGTTACCGTTTGCAATGCTGAAGAACAGTACACTTATAAACATAAACCTCTAAATTTATTATGAAAACTGGTTCACACTTGTGCCATTTTTAGTCTGCGAAGTGGCAATGAGTAAATTAGCCTCATGTTTTACTATGGAAAACCTCAAAAATCTGCCGGAAAATGGGGAAAAATTACGAAAATTTTACCCAGCCTAAGAGTCATACCAATAGGCTGAGAGAATCCAATCTTAACATTTCTCAGATTCAATATTTTTTCCTGGAAAAACCTGGAAAAAAATGATGCAAATTTACTCAACGCTGAGTTTTTGCACTTTTTGCGATTTATGAGTAAACTGAACTCAAATTTGGGTTGATCTCATTGGCCGCGTTGGCTACTTTTCAAATTTCCGGTTATTTCCCGGTTTTTCTAGATTTCCTCGATTTGCTGGCCACCATGTTATTTACTCTAAAGCTGGGTTTAAACTAGGAAAGTCAAATGATCAACTCAGTTGAATTCAATTGGCTTGAAAAGTTGAGCCTGATTCAATTTTTTTTTTCAATTCAAGTGAGTTGAATGGCATGGTTTACACGTTCAATTCACGTTGAATTCAACTGACTTGATCAATGGACTTGCCCTGTCTAAACCCAGCTTAATAGCGAATTCGTTTATTATCGGTGCGAAACCAATATTTTTGTCAATGTGAACCTCAACCTGAGTTAGGTTTTAAAATCAAACGATCAAACTAACGTTTGTCAGAAAACAAAGAGACCCAATCTTGATACCCGATTCAGGTTGGAAATGAATGATATACGAATTCGCTATAACTGTGGCAATATTGATGCTTGAAAACTTGCATTTTTGTATGGCGCATAAAATAGTCATTCAAATTTCGGCTAATTACTCATTTGGCATAATCTCATTAAGTTTAATGATTTTTTCGGCCTAACTTCATTATGTCTTATGGCAATCCACGTAATGTCATTCAGCATAGTGAAATTCGTCCTAATTGTATTCGGTCTTATCAGATAACAGCAAGCAAAATTTGTGCCATAAAGATGGCAATCGTATTTCGATTTCTAGATTTATTTATTTTTTTTTTCATTGTGTTCCTATTGAATGAACATTATTTAAGGCTAAGCAACTTCAAATTAATTACGAATCAAATCAGTGCAAACATGTAAAAGACCTCGTTTTTTGTTGACCATTCGAAACCAAAGCAAACAATAGGAAAAGACTGCATGAAAACAGATTTTGAACCAAACAAAAATTTATCCCAGAACGAAACATCCGAAAGTCACAGTAAGCCACACTCTGGGGTGTAGGTTGATGATAGATTGCTGCATCAAAGCTTTAACATCAGAAAGTGAATCAACTGCAAAGCTTTGTAAATAACACGTAATTTTTTTGAGCAAGAAACCAATTCGTTTCCCATTTTCATGCACTTCCCTCCCTCCACTACTTATAGATGACCTCCAAAGATGACCCCTCAATATTTCAAGCTCAGCATTTGATTTTGTTCCTTTTTGACTAATTAACGCCCTCCACAACCACCACCACTACCACCTCCACCACTACCAGAAAAGATAAGAACTATTGCTAGTATTTTTTCATAACCAAACAAACAAAAAAAAAACAATCAATTTTTCGCTAGTCCGGTTGAACTACTGAAACTCGAACCGCAATTTGGTTTTCTCTCTCTCTCTTCTTTTTTCCGTTTTTTGTCGGTTTCCCCTTCGAAACAAAATACCAAAATAACAAACCGAAATGTGCCGCCTGTGTGTATGCAAAACACGCGCACTCACACACACATAAATCCCAAAGGCGAAGAAGAGACAGTATCGTTCATCGATCTACCCCCCAACAATACCTCGAAACTTCCAGAAAAGGGCATACTCAAAAAACACGGATTCGGTCTAGTGTTGGTCGATAGCAATAAAGAAAAATGGCCCGACGATACACAGTCCGATAATCTCGAATTGATAGCTCAGCAAGAATCCACTATTCCTCCATCAGGTGGCCAGGCGGGCGCAGCGGTCGTTGGCCCCGTACCGGACGGAATGAAATTTGTCAATGGTTATCACGAGGATATTCTCGAGGCGTTGCGCCGGTCGGCAGCTCAGGTGCCGCGCAGTAGTGCCAACACGCCGTCCGGTAGCTTCAGTGAAGAACTGCTCCGGAAGACCCTGACGGATTGCGTAACCAACATGCAGCTGAACGCCCCGAGCGTTTACCCAACGGAACGCCTACGTGGCAGCAGTTCCCGTACCGGGTCCAAGGAGAACGTCTGCGTACCCCATCCGCTACTGAGCGATACGGCTGCCACCTCGACGCTCATGCAGCACCATCGGCAGCAACAGCAGCATCCTCAGGACGAAGACGACACGCCCTCGGTCGGGCCACTACGTATCCGAAACCTAGAGGACCTAATACGACAGCTGGAACAACACTCGTCCCGGCACATGAGCCCCAACGGCTCCGAAGACACCCGAGTGTCTGAAACTGAAATCGATCGTCACTATAGAGTAGATAGTTCAGCGCCTTGTAGTGAATCATCGCATGGGTAACTATAGCCAACCTCCCGTTCCAACCCCAACCCCCCACTAACCCTTCGAATCCGTTTAATTTCACTTTCAGCTCAAACCAACAACTAGCTCAATCACAGAAAACTGCCACGATACTGCCACCCTACAGTAGTCGTTGTCGTCCACCGCGATCGGACGACGAGTCCCGGTTTTCGTACGGAGCGGGTGGCGGCGGAGGACCCGGAAGTAGCGGTACCGGCCGCTACCGGCATTCGACCAGCCGTCACCCCGCCCATCAGCCCCATTCGCCTCACTCGTTTAGCCACCATACCCATCACGGGCACGCCCACGGCCACTCGGCACACGCGGGCCACTCGTCACATCATTCATCTCACACGCACCTGCATCAGGAAGACGAAGGAATCTACGAAAGTGCCGATCCTCATCCGGTGCATCCGCACCCGCACGATAGGAACGCCCTGAGCGACCAGCGCGATACCAACGATAGCGAAAGGTAGGTGTTCCCCTCATAAGCTAAATAAAAAAAAATAAACCGAAACAAAACCAAAACAACAACACCTATAGCGCAAAAGTGGTGTTAGTGGCTGCCTGCAAACCGCTTCGTATTGTACAACTAGCAACCTTCCTCCAATCCTGCACACCTTTTACACCACCAACCCACGATCAGACCTCATATAGTGAACGCTTGTTATTCCAACCTCCGATACCTACCAATCCGACAATCTTAACCAAATCTAACAACAAACAATAGCACATGTGTAAAACAATCAGCTTTTTCCGGACAATTGCATTTTAGTTCCCATGCTTCATCACTGTCATCCGAACTGTGTAAATATCGCCATAAAAACCGTGATTGCTGCGGCGGTGGAGGTTGGCGACGACGGGACTTTGTCAACACTAGATCCTTGGATATCCGCGACTTGGAACGGAACGAGGGCTCATCGGACGACTAGTAAGTTGGGTAAACCTCATAATTAAGCAGAGAAAAGAACTGTTGGTTCTCTCGTAGTCTTCCACCGTAGTCTATACACTATCTGAATGCCCCGTAACAACAATCTTCCGTAGACTTTCCGGATCATTTTGTAAATTGCACACTCGGAAATTACGTAATTGATTGGTAGGAAATGCCATCGTAGAATTTGATGCCCCTTTTCTCTCTTCTAATAACTTTTCACTATTTGTGGATCATTTTTGAGAATGATGCAATTCTTTTGGTTTTCAGAAATTTCTGAGCATTACATAAATTTGTTTTAATCCTCTTGGTTCAATCTCTTACAGTAGCAGCTGTCTTGTTTCCCCTGAAAATTCTCTCGAACCTTCTCAGCATACTGCTTCAATGTGAGTTTGTGGCCGTGCGGTTAGCGATATCGTCAGTCGTTTTGCCTTTATTGTACGTGTCACGTAGTGAGAGTTCGAATCCCGCTTCAGCCAAGCACACTTAAGTTAACCCATAAAAGCCCAGGACAAACATTGTATTTAAAAAAAAATGTGTATCCCAAAGATGCCATTACCGATTAAGTTGAAATTTTTTTAACATCATTCCGGTGAGTGGTTTTTATATCTGTTGGATGGTACTCCCCTCCATGTCCCTCCTTCTTTGTAATATATTCTAAAAAAATCAATATGTTGTCACAATAATAAGCAAGATACATGATAAAGATAGAAAAAAACACACCCCGTTCCAACACATTCTTGAATATATAACAAAGAGGGAGGGGCATTGGGGGAAGTGCCATCCACCAGATGTAAGAACCACTAACCGAAATTATGGTAAAACAATTTCAATTTAATCGGCCATTCCATCTCTGACATACATTTTTATGAAAATAAAAGGTTTGTCCCGGGCTTTTGCGAGTTAACAAAGCCTTTTGTACTGATCAACAGTAATCGACTAAATTTTCAATAGCGACCAAAAATAGCCATAAGCCATAAATAGCAGTTTTTTAGCGATGGGTCCAATCATAGATCCATAGGCCAACATTAGAGCCATTTCCCCTATATCTTTTAGATTTCAATATATACAACCTCTCCTCTAAGCAGTTCCACGCCAACTGACGAATCAAAAAACTCGACCTTCTCAGATTTGCATAAAATATTGCATAATTGTGTGTTATGGGCAATCATTCAATTTTTTACAAAAATGCGGCAATTTTAGACGTTGTGTCTTTTTCAAATTAATTGTAGCACAAAAACGTCACTTCTGATCGAAATGACGTACGATACAATGTTGTAGAGAAAAATAGACTATTTCTGGGAAAATATACATGGTAATCTAAATTGAATTATAAGCGTGATAAATAGTAGAATAATTGTATACCTGCATTAACTATGTCACGCTAAATCGAGGAAAAATTTAACCCCCCTCCCACTTATCGTCACAATTTGCCTATACCTAATGCATTGCTTGTCACAAAATCTTAGACCACCCCCTCCTCCCTAGAGTGTGACATAACATATGCATTGCATCAAACCTTATTACGTTGTTTTCCTTTTAATTCTACTACTATTGTATTACATTCACTTTCACTTCAACTAATTCACTTTCATTAATTCATTTTCATTTACACTAAATTACTTTCATTTTCACTTACAATAATTCATGTTTACTTTTAAAAAAATATATCAGATACGTATTTCTATAACTACTTCGTTTACTGTCACTGAACAAGTTTGCAAGTAGTAAACGAAATACGTATCTGTTACAGATTTTTTAAAGTGAAAGTGAAAGTGAATTAGTGAAAAGGAAAGTGATACAATACTAGTAGAATGAAAAGGAAAAAAAAAAAACAAAGTAATAAGGCTGTATGCCTGGGTAAGTTTTATTTTAGTAGTTTTGATAAAAATTCCAAAAAAATGTTAAAAATTTAAAAATTTCTAAGAGCGAATCTTAAATTTTTAAACGTTATTTTATGGAAAAAAGCTCATAAAATTGCAAACGTTTGAAATATTTGAAACCATGGACACTTTAAAATTGATAAAAATCGTTGAACAAGAACTTTTGGTCAAAAATTTGAACTTGTTGCTAGTATGATTTTTTATGTTATTTCTCCACAGACATAATGAGACATTCAAAATCGTTATCAGTGCAAAAATTACGTTATAAAGCTAGTCACCGAAAAGTTTAATCATATAACAAAAAGTTGATGTTCTTCAATTTTTTGTTAATTTTTAAGAGTCCATGGATTTAAATACTCCTAAAGTTTGAACATTTCATTAAAAAATATATTATAAAAATTATAGATTACTTGTTGAGAATTGCTTTACTTTTCTCAACAACTTTGTATCAGACGTCATTTCGATTAGAAGTGACGTTTAAGTGCAACAATTTGTTGAAAAATTTCAAAGAATTTATTTTGAAAAAAAAAATCAAAGATCCAAAATGGCCGAATTTTTGCAAAAATGAGAATGATGGGCACATAGTTATGCAAAGTTTCATACAAATTGGAGAAGGTTGAGTCTTTTTTTTTATTTGGCCTGGAACTGATCTGATCTAATCAAAATGGCGTCTGTGACTAAGTTGTAGGAAACTAGATTGCTGCTTCAGAAAAGAAAACACTGAATAAAAATAATAAATTTAAGCCAAAAATGAACTTTTTACCTTATGTTTATTTGAAATCTTACAAAAATTGCCCACTAGACCAAAATCGTAGAACATCAACTAGGGGGAATGGATGTAATGTCGGCATTAATGCACCTAACTTGGGCCCATACATAAATTCAGCAAACGACTAAATTTTCAATAGCGACCAAAATATCCTTAGTACCGTCCCAATGACGCGTTCATCTAGATAAAATTGATAAATAGCAGCTTTTTATGCGATGGACCCAATCTTAGATCCGTAGGCCAACATTAGAGCCATTTCCTCTATTTATTTAATTGTGTTTTCTAATTAAATAAATATAAAAAATAATTTGTGAAAAAAGTTCATAATTAGAACTAATAGAGGAAATGGCTCTTATGTTTTTTAGTCCGAAAAGTTGTTTAAAATACACAAATCACATTGCGTGAGAAAAAAGTTCAAACAGTTTACTAAAAGATATTTTTTTAGATTTTGGTCCATTTTGATGTGTCCATTGTGTCCATTTCAGAAAATTTAATATTTTTGATAAACACATAAGTTTAAAAATCTTAAAAAAATGGTTAGTAACGTTTTTAACAGTTTATTTTTTTCATTTTTTACGTAAATTTGTGATGGTTTTTTTTTTCAGTGTGCATTTTATTCTTAAAAGGCAATCCAGTTTCCTACAATTTTGTTAAAGACGTCATTTCTATTAAAAAATAGGCGTGTGTCAAATTACAGGATGTCCATTCAAATGCAAATTTTTCAATTCCCGGGTTATTCCCGGTTATTTAATAATAAACTAAACTCAAACACCACCTCTGACTTAAACAAAAAAGGTGTTAAAAATAACCGTTTAGAGATAATCATGTAATTTTTTGAGCAGAATTGCTCTACAATACGTCTACTTTGTAGAACAAAATATGAGATGAGATTTACATTAACATTTTAATTATTTAGGTTTCCATTGGAATCATGAATTCGTATAAAATGAGCCTAAACCTGAGCCGGAGAAACGCAGTATTAAAAGTTCATCAAATCTTCCTAGAGTTTAGATCTTGAAGAAATTTTTGTGGAATACAAAGATGCGTTAACAAAATATTTTTCATTCTCCAAATTGTCCTAGCGATATTTTACAGGTTAATCGAAATCGATGTCCACTCAGAATTTTGTACTTCACGGACACTCATCATTTAAAATTATGAATTGTGTTAAAAACAATTGTTGGATTATCCAAATCATCCCAGATATCTGATCTTGAAATTTTGCAGACTCACCAAAGTAGGATTAACCCCCCAATTCCCGGCCTATTAAGCACAACCCACACTTAGTCTTTCTTAATCTACACTCAAAAAATTTATCACATATCTAATGGATGAAATCCATGTGAATTTCACATAGCTTTCCTGTGATCACATAGCAGCAAATAGCATAACCATTATGAGGCCAATGAATTTCATATGAAAAATCATATAAAATTAATGTCATCGCATAAATTTTATGTGAAAATCAGATGAATTTCATTAATTTTGATTATGGATGAAAATCATGTGCGTTTCCAATCGAAGTTACATGAAAACTATTTTCGGTGTAGCATAGTTTAGCACCAAACGGAATGTTATTATTACAGATGGCTTCCAAATTTATTTACCTTTCCATTCGTATCGCTCGTTATGGTCAGGGGTCACGGAATATTCGTTTATTGTTGAAAATGCAAAACTGCTTCTGGCGGCTGAACTTGGTTTACGGATCTTCTTGGGCCTATTAGCCATTGAAACGCCATTGGGATTCTCTTTGACCTATCGAACGGAAAGAAAAGTGAATTCGCGTGTGCCTTTTGTACACTTCAAGTGCGTCTTTTGCTTTCGAGATCTTATTTTGCGTTTTTCGACACTTCATCTTGTAGCTATTGGGTAGAAGCATCGTACTAAAC